CTTTGGTCAGGGGGTTGTCAAGGGCCTCTCTTTGCTGCTCCCTCAGTGATTTTCCTAACGGGCGTAGAAATTCCTCGATTTCCTTCGTTCTAGGTGTTAAAGGGAGCTTGACACTTTCCGATGTTAAAGAGGTTTTGATAAAAGTCCCGTGCTATTCTGGTGCAAGTTGATGTGGATGTGTGCAGAGGGCCATGTGAGCATTTGGGGTCCTTCAGGGCCTCGATCACAGATCTTCCCGCCTTTGCCCTGGCCATCGAAAAGTACCGTGCGTCCATTGCTCCCTCCGTATTGTGTTTTGAGAGTTTTCCCCGGATTCTGATTTCGTGCCATCGATTTTCCATGTGTTCTAAAAGACGGGTTTCCAGAGTTTGAGTGACATCGGCTAACTCGGCGTGTTGTGTAGAGCTTTCTGTACTTTCCTCCTGTAGTTGTAGCTGTCGCAATTTATGATGCAGGTTCACCTCGTCGGCATGGCGTTGTTTCGCGAGGAGTTTAGAGTATTCATTGCACTTGTGGCCAAGAAAGGCTAGGCCGTTGTTGAACGATACAATATGATCTTCTATTAGGTCTCTCTATTTTTGCCAGAAGGACCAAACATCTTTAAGATATCCTTTGAAGCGATCGATGGACAGGAGGGAAGTGTTTAATTTGTAAAACCCTCTGCCTTGGTCCGTTTTTTTCCTGAACGAGAGAATGGCTACGCACATTGAGTGGTCCAGGCCGAGGTACGGGCTACGAGGGAAGATCTCTGCAATCTACAGGGATCCTTGTATTTCCTCTAAGATTAAGATCAGGTCAATTCGGGATCTCGTTGCTTTCTCTGTGCCATTATTTCGGAAACATGTGAATCGGCGGTCAGTCGAAAAATGTCTTCTAAAAGTGTCAAAGAGGTTGAGAGATTGTGCAAGTTCTGCTATCATTCTTTTGTCGTTTTGTAGAAGACTAGAGAGATTAAGACCAGATAATGCAGCTTATGAATTCCAACAAGTTACACAAGAGGAATAAGAGTTCCGAGTCACCAGCACACAATAGCGCATGTCATAGGTAACCAAACATCCAACATAATCACCCAGGTAAGTATCTTCTTCCTCTCTGCTCTTCTTTCTCTGTTGTATCACCCCTCCTTCCTGGTCTTCTCCCTACCTCATGACCTCCCTGTATCTTCTCTCCCTACATGCATGCTCACACACACTAACTTCTACTCAAGATCTACTATGAATACACCCACTATCAACTCTACTAATCCCTCTGAAGTCTACTACTAACTGCTAACAATAACACCATGTGCGGGCGCAGCTATGGCTGCCTTCTTCCTGCCAACACTGTCTTCTTCCTCTCCCTCACTCTTAGCGCAGCACTCTGCCCCTCACATCAGCGCACAAGTGCACCAGCACTTTCACACTTCTTGCGAATGAGCAATCTGCCTGAACGGTAGGCTGTCAGTCCTTTTGTAGTCTTGGAATGCTCTTCAACTCGTGCCAGCCTCTACTTTCTGGGACCTGGCTGGTTCTGGTACCACATCCCCACGGCCTGTCTGCTTCTGAATGTCAAGGCTGGAACCTATGTGTCCTCCTAGGCTGCGGCCGCCTCCGACTCGGCCGCGGCCGAGGAGGCCGGCCGCGGGCCCACGGCCTAGGCCGCGCAGCCGAGTTTTTTTGCGGCCGTGCCACAGCCAGGCGGCGGCGCGCGCGGCCTGC